TGATCGCTTATAACTCAAAAACTATTGCAGCCTCAAAATTTTTGTATTAAAATTTTTGACTCTACTTTATCTCTAGAACACGCTAATAAAGTATTATACGGAGGTTGTAAGACACCCTGTATATATCATGGGACTAATTATAATTCAATACAAATATACGAACTTTTACAAATAACTATGTCTTATAAACTGTTGTTATAATTCTTATTGTAATGCATATTATTGAATTTATCATAAAATTCTTTATAAAATTATATTAAATAGATATACTGTTCTCCTGCGCTTAGTCCTGTAACTACACTTACACGCGTATCGATCAGTCATCTGTTATTGATTTTTTCAAGTTAGGTGATATTGATTTTTACTGCACAGCTTATATATATATATATATATATAAGGATATATGTATATATAAGGATATATATATATATATATATATAAGGCAACCTAGTTTACATAGACCAAACTTTCACACTTTCACAAACATTTAAACTCAACTTCCTTACGACATATTAACTTGTAAACAAGTATGTATGTTTTGCTACACATAACTAGACTTTGTGATATATATATATATAAGGCAACCTAGTTTACATAGACGGTACGCGCAAACTTTCACAAACATTTAAACTCAACTTCCTTACGACATATTAACTTGTAAACAAGTATGTATGTTTTGCTACACATAACTGGTTTAGGAGACTTTGTGAATGCAACTCGTACGAAAAAACTTGAGAGATAAGATTGTAAAACGATATGGCATGCATATCTATGTTAAATATATGTTACACAATTTGTTTTTTATACACATAACTATGCAATTTGTTTGTTGCAATCGAGCAATCGCAATCAATCGTAAGAAAGAAAGAAAGAAAAGAAGAAAATAAAAAAAAAAATAAAAAAAAATAGAATAACTAAATAAATAAAACAAAAGGATGGAATATATACTGGGCGATGGAATAAAAAATAACAGTGCAATTCCTGGTTTATCACAAGAGACATACAAGTCGATCTTTATTAGAAAATAAATTAAAGTGTTGTTGCGAATGAAAAAGAAAAATTGAACAGGAAGCGGGTGGGATGGAAGAGGAAACGCTCTCTTTTCTGATGTTGCGATGTCTTCTTCAGTATCACAATTGCCGCATGAGAAATTTTTCGGTGTTGAAACAGAAATAGGTAAAGGAACAGAAAAAGACGCGGTTATCCATGTGTTTGTGTGAAACGTGTCATATGTAGCTCTAAGATAGCTTAAATCAAGTCAAATATGTTTTTCTTTTTTAAGTTTGGCTGCCTTGGTCTGCGATCCGCGAGCGGTACACAATTTTCATCTCTCACGAGGCTCTTGAAAGCCTCCAAGAATTCTGATTTTGATAATCCTCCTGATATGGTCCTTGGCCGTTGCTTCTATTTATTTAAATCAAAGTAACTGGAAAAGAGATGAGGGACGGAAGAGAGTATATAAAAGATCATATTTTTACGTCATCGACGAAATTGTCTGCTGTCATTGTTACGATTATTAGGCCTCGGAATGATTACTGGGATTCGATAT